ATATATAGAAATAACAAGATGGGTGCACCATACTGAGCAGGGAAGCTTATTTCCATCTGTAGTCTATTTGATATTACCTGTGTTTGCAAAACTAGTTGGTAGCATAGTTGGTCAAGAAAGTTTGTCACCACACAGACCAATCAATGAATATGAATTATATAAATACACAAATTAAATTGATTCAACATCGACTTAGCAACTTTTTTTCTGTGTGTTTTCTTTGTATTTCCAGGCAAACCAGCATATGAAATGCTGGCGTGTGATGCTGACTGGGTGCCTTCATTACACCTGGGCCATACAGAAGTAAAACCTACAAACCCAGAGAGGTTTAACCGGCAAAGCGGGAGGGCAAAGAGACTCCATGAACAAGCATCCATGGGGAAGAACACAGCATCTGCAGAACATATGGATGAACCATCAGTACCTGCACCTCCACCTGTTAACACAGGCCCTGAGACAGAGATGGATGATTCAGCTTTCCTATACCTGGGTAAATTTACTGGGTCAAATCTAATTCTGATGATTAATTCCTACTTTTAAGCTACCCATCTTTTGGTTTTGTTTCTGCCATATGTTTATTTTTAATTTTTATTGTCATCATTTTTTTTTATTTGTTTTTATCCCTTCTTTAAAGCAACTTGACTCTTTGGATTTTAAATCATGCTATTCAAATGAAACTCATTACTATTATTGTTGTTATTTCCATCAGATAACATTGTACCTGTGACTGAGATGGATGCAGGGCATTCAGATGTGCCAGCACATTCCCATTCCCAGGCGGATGAAGGTGCACCGAAGGACAACACTGGTGAACAGCAGGACTGCAGCCAATGTTGCATCAAGGTGGCCGAAATACACCGCTTGTTGGAAGAGAATCGTAACCTGAAGGAAGAGCTCTCCAGAAAGAGCCTGGATGAGAATTTCATGAAAGATGATTCAATGGTGAAGTACTACACTGGGCTTCCATCTTTTGCTCTTTTGATGGGTGTGCTGACACAGATTCTCCCCAGCCTACCAAAGAGTACGACAGGACGAAAACTTTCCCATTTTCAGATGCTCCTCTTGACCCTTATGCGCATGAGGCTGAATCTGCCTCTCGATCACCTAGCTCATCTTTTTGACATCAGCCGACAGCACACATCCACTGTCTTCTGTGACAACATCAATGTACTGTATGCACACCTCAGCCCTTTGGTGCACTGGCCAGAGAGGCATTGCATGCAGGACAGCATGCCACATCAGTTTGTAGAGATGTTTGACAATCGTGTCAGAGTTATTATTGACTGCTTTGAACTTTTCATAGAGAGAGCACAGAATCTACGTGCAAAGGCTCAGACTTACTCTAACTACAAAGGCCGGCAGTACTCCACAAGGAACCATCTCTTTTATTTCCAAAGAGGGGGGGGGGGGCAGTGACAAGCAGATAGCTGAGGAAAGCGGCTTTCTTCAGAAGCTATCGCCTGGAGACATGGTGTTGGCAGATCGTGGATTTGACATTAAGGAAAGCGTGGCCTTTATGGGCACCACACTGAAAACTCCTGCATTTACCAAGGGACGCAGCCAACTGGACTCGAAAGATGTGGAGGAGACAAGGAAGATAGCTCATGTCAGAATACATGTAGAGAGAGTGATAGGGTTAATGCGCTCCAAGTACAACATATTAAATGNTGACAAGCAGATAGCTGAGGAAAGCGGCTTTCTTCAGAAGCTATCGCCTGGAGACATGGTGTTGGCAGATCGTGGATTTGACATTAAGGAAAGCGTGGCCTTTATGGGCACCACACTGAAAACTCCTGCATTTACCAAGGGACGCAGCCAACTGGACTCGAAAGATGTGGAGGAGACAAGGAAGATAGCTCATGTCAGAATACATGTAGAGAGAGTGATAGGGTTAATGCGCTCCAAGTACAACATATTAAATGACACCATACGCCTGAACATGGTGCTCCCATGTGAAGGCGAGGGCATGACTTTGCTTGACAAGATTGTGGTTGTGTCTTGTGCATTGACAATTATGTCTCCAAGTATTGTTGTGAAGCCCTCATTTTAGATCGGTTGCCAGTACTGTTGTGTATTTTTGCTTTTATATTTTCTTATTTTATCTTGAGGTATTGAATGTCGTAATGTAATGTATGTTTGCAAATAAAGGATGGAGAATGAATGAGGTTATGGCTCCTTATTTATTTAAGTAATAATACAAAAACAATAAATACAGTAACATTGTTACAACACAGCGTAACTACATAGTACAAGACAGGTAAAGTGTTACTTTTCAAGTAATGTATTCAAATATTGAATGGATGGCATACAAAGTGCAACATTTTTCTCTCACACTCTCTCACACTCTCTCTCTCTCACACACACACACACACACACGTCAAGGATGCTACATAAACAAACAAGGTAAAGTGGAGTCGTGACTTCAAGTAAAGTAGCTTTAGTAAAGTGGCTATTTAAACTTTAAAAAGTGTTAAAACTGTAAGCACAATTCGATCAACCGGTCAAATTAACATGTCCCCCCCGAACATGTTTCTCTCACACTCTCTCACACACTCTCTCACTCACACACACACACACACACACACACACACACACACGCTTTTTTCAAAGAGACCATTTTCAGTCCAGTGTGCATGTGTCACAGAACCATGACTTGTCTTTGGCTGGTGCATGACTGAGTTCAACACATCCCAGCTGTGCGGGTTGTCTGCAATGGCACCACAATTTGGCCACGTTTTTTCGTGCCTGTTTCTTTGGCTGCGGTGTGTGATATGGTTATGACTCAGCTAAAGGTTGGACTTGTCGTGTGGTGGGGGCTTTCTGAGAATAGTGGTGGGCGACAAGCTCAGGGAGAACCACAATGTGGTAGAAGTTCTGTGCCTTTGGCAAAAGTGTCTTCTCCCAGAGTTCTTTGTCAAGTGTGACCCATACACTGACACAGGTTTTCTTAGTCCACACAACAAAGTCACAGTAGTGTGTTCTGGTCACAAAGATCTGTGTTTGTACTTGCTTGTAGTACTTATGTGTGCGCTTCAACTGCAGTATCCCATCAGTGTATTGGAGACAAAAGTCCTTGTATGCACAGGCCTGCAGGATGTTGTGGTCGCGGTGCTTGTGAGGGCATTTGATTTCTATACAGCCTTTCCCACAACATGTGCAGTGGACAAGTGCGTCAGGGGTTGCTCCAAGTTCTGGGAAAGATGGATTGATTGTGAAACCACATTTCTCCACTTTCAGGTCCCTGTGTTGCAGCTCATTCTGTGTGTAGTATGACCCCCTTGCTGTATCTTCCTTTGCTCTCCCCCATTCCATAGGAAAGAGCCGCTCTTCATCTTGTTCTTCGTTTGACGTAAATTTGTTTTGGGGATAGCACACCTTCTGTTGGAGGCAGTTTGGAGAGGCAAACAAGAGAGCAGCACCAATCTGATCTTGTACAAAGATCAGATTGGTGCTGCTCTCTTGTTTGCCTCTCCAAACTGGCCGCTTCTGTTGTAGTCACTGCTACAAGGTGTCTCAGGCCCTCGCAGTGCTTTAGCAGGACCGACAATTCACAGCCATCCATTTTTGAGTTGCGAAGGCGCAGTAGTGACTTGGGCAGAATGCACAGCTGACAGGGTCTGCATAAATGTGGCTGAATCCCTCCAGCACAGAACAGAGTCCAGACCTGTGAGCGTGCATAATGTCTGTGAGTGCACTTAGGGTCACCAAGTGTGCGCATTGGTATCACCTTTTCGCCGACATGGGTCCGTAGCCCGGATGGACTTTGGTGCAGTCCACTGGTTGACTGATCAAGTGCCTTCTTCCTAGCTGCACCAGTGGTGTAGTCGATGGTGTCACCTGCTGCTCCTCTCACCTTGTTCACATTAGAGGGCACCAACCAGTAGGCTGAAACATCTGTTGGTATCAGAGTCCCCCGCAGTCTTACCGCTGTGTCGATTTTATAAAGGAGGGCCGCAACATGTACGCACTTCTCAGCGACGCCTGCCATACATGTGCAGTGGACACTCTCCACTTCCCCGCAGGACTTGAGGATCACCCATGGCTGCAATGGCTTTAGGCTAAGGCGCATGGAGTGATTCACCTAAAAAATAATAACATGGATATAGGTTTAAAACAAAATTAGTAAAATCTTTCAAAATAACTTTTACTGCTAAACAACTACAACAATGATTAGGCTGTTTAAGGCAAACAGTTGGTGATATACAAACTTACACACATACATACAGACATATACATATACATACCTACACATACACACAGACATACAGTATATACATACATGCACGCACACACACACACATACATACACTGCCTGGCCAAAAAAAAAGTCACCACCAAAAAAAAAGGTCATACACTCTAATATTTCGTTGGACCGCCTTTAGCTTTGATTACGGCACGCATTCGCTGTGGCATTGTTTCGATAAGCTTCTGCAATGTCACAAGATTTATTTCCATCCAGTGTTGCATTAATTTTTCACCAAGATCTTGCA